GTACAGTTCGGGTAAATTCTCAAAACGCCTATAGGCTTCGATGATAACGAAAGGGTTAAGGATACAAACATACTCATAAAATAAAAAATAAAAAAGAGAGAGAAAATAGTAGACAAACATTTCGTTGCTCGGTATTGATAATGGTATAACTGGAAAAATGTCAAAGCTGTTCGAGTAATCCGATCAGTGTATTCTTTCTCATCCTACGCTTTAATTGAGCGCTCGAGATGCGTTTCATAGGAGGAATGATAATTGATGTGACGGTATTAATGGCGCAGTTGAGAGTCAGCGGTTAGGTGGAGTCACGTGAAACGTGCTTCTAATTGGCCGTGACAAGATACCATCTAATGCGTCTTTATTAATGAAAAAGTTGCTTGAGCGTGACGCCACCGAAACGGTCGATTCGCTCGATTTTCGGTGGCCTTCCTTCTCAGGGCCAATTATCGCGCGATCATAGTTGACGGTCGCGAATTTGCACGACGATTCAGCCGAATAATTCGACGCGGAGGATGTGTTTCGCTGTGGATCGTTAGCGCGGCGCTTCTTATGTGATCTAACAGTGGGTGGCGCAAGCATATAATAATGACATTAACTGGATATAACTAGAGCATATGGAGGAAAATGATTATTATGGAAATTGTGTATGAAACACTTTCAGCAGCGGTGATAACTTCCTCGTAGAATTAAACAAACGTACTTTTTATTCATTTTTTCTTTTAATTTTCTTGCTTTTTGACACATTCGCAGCCGCTGACGCGAATTCGTGTCATTTCGTTTTGTAAGCCGCTGAATTATCATATTTTAACGGTTTTCAGCTTTTTATTTTCTTGAAAATATATTTTACAATTTTTATCCTTGTCTCAATGACGGAAGTGTGCGGAAATCTACTCTTGAATTTCTTCATTTCAACCGGCTTTCAGTGTCAGAAAAGTGAAAAAATTACAAAATTTCAAAAAATTATCGTTATAAATTATAGGTAAGTTACTTAATAACTTAAATCATTGTAGGTAATTCGAAGACCTCTGTTTAATAAATTTGTCGTTGCCGTTTCATCAATTGCGAAGAAAAGAAAAGAAAATGTATAAGTGCTAACATTTCTTTTTAAACACCCTATACTGACGAAAAGTATAGATTACTGGTCAAAAAGTTTGGAAATACTAAATAGGAATTAAAACGGAGCTCGTGGTATTCTTTATAAAAAACTTTAAATGACTACTTTGCTTATTTTCCGACACATTTCGACACATTCTTTACAAAGCTTCGCTCTACTCCCAAATTATTTCCATCTGGTTCTCTACCCAAGGAAAATAAATCATCGGTATAATGGCGAAACTCTAAATAAAAAAATATTCGTTTTTACTTATGGTGTAAAAATTACTTCTTTGCATACTAATAAGGCACACTATGTCGCAAAATAAAAAATAAATTTTTATGCTAAATTAATTGATTTATTTTAGATCTATATCAGGTATTAACCATATAACCATATTAACATACCTTTCTTTTCCAAAGCATAATTTCTTTCAATATTCAATACTAAACAACGCATAACTTTCTCCACTCGTAATTGTTTAAATAAAAACTGAGAGATTTTACGAATAATAAAATTGGCGGGAAATTTGAAAAACGACAATGGGGGGATGAGCGAAATGGCAACAACCTCGCGTAGGATTCGCGAAACCGAGTGGATTGACATTATCGCCTCGGCTAATATCCCGTATTTAGTGAAATCACGAGATCGTCGTTATTTCGATTTTACCTTATTTCCCATATCGAGATTCACCGGCTGCGACGCCGGCAGAGATCCCGCGCGGTGCCACTATCGCGTGCAATGAGCTGCCAAGAATCTTTTACCGTAACAAACTAGTTCCTCTGCCCCCAGCTATACGATACCCTCGCTAATGTCCAATACTTTTCCCCGGGGCCCAGCTAATACCGTCAGTTGGTGGCTTTTGTATAATAAAGCGTCACTCGGCTACCACTTCGCGCCAACATTCCGATCGACGATCGAGATCCTCCTTTTCAGCCACTTTATACGTGTAAACCATCGTATACGTCTGTTAGAAACATAAGAACGCAGTATTTTTTGGAAAATGCATGTTGCAAGAATTTCTAGTTCATATACAGTTAACCGAAGTAGATAAAAAAGTTGTAAAAAGTGATCTCTACAATTTTCTTCGCGATTCACACCAAGTGCAAGTTTTTCAAAAATTTCTTCTAACTTGTCAAAAAACACTGCAGTTGTTTGGTCCAATTTTAACAAAGTTACTCTGTTTTTAAAGGCGTCCACTTATTTCTGTCCTTGACTGTATCTCGCGTATAAGTAAAGAGAAAAATTGATGACAAAATGACAGAGTTTAGATCGAAAAGCAATTCGATTCGAACTCGTCGAAATAAAGTTTCTGTCTCTTTTATTTCCCACTCAAAATACTCACTTAGCTTTGTGTAACTTAGCTTTCTGAAACTGAAGCAGGAGGAGTCATAGAGAAAAGTTCTATTTCGAGTTGTAACATCATGAAATAACGTCATCGCGCATTCAACCTCGAAAAAGAAGCCGCTGTAACGATTTCCTTGATACATCATCCTATTTTGCGAAATCGCAGATTTTGTCAGATCCACAATCAGCTCCCGCGAGGCGTCGCGACGAAACGCTGGCGATAACTCCTCTAATTGGGTTATCTGCGCGTTACGTTACGCATTTGTCGTTCTATTCTCCATTTTTCATTTCTAACATTTTTTCCCCTCCTTCTTCCTCTCGCAATGGATACAAGGTTTCGTGTATTCGCACGATCTCCCCCGTTTCGTGATAATTCCAAGCGAATCCAAATGGACGATGATCCATTATTATACATCCATTAGCCTAATTGGTCGTGGCGTTACAAGGCGGAAGCGCTTTCCACGGATTCGCCTGGGAACGCGGTCCACGATCATTTCGTCACGCCACAATTTAACCATTTCTGGCTTGCTTGACCTTCAAGTAGCCGAGTTTCATCTATCGCGTGTAATTAGCCACAGTGTTCTTCTGGTTAATCTTGAAGGAAATTCTCTCGATCGACGTTGCAGCGATTGTTGTTTGATATTTTATGGTCGTAATGTTTGGAGCGGAAAGTGGCTTTAAATTCACTCCGCAAACACTTTACTGTGTTAATTTTCCGTTCGAGTATGCGAGTTACGAAAATTAATTAAACTTTGTAATTAATTTGAATTGGAAATTGCTTTCATTTGAAAATTAATCAACTTGAAGAAATTATGAATATTATTCACGAATGATTTCTCTAAAGTGTGCCATAAAATATTGAAATGTGATCATAAATAATTTTTTCAAAGTGTACAACAGAGTATGTTGCTTAATTTTAAAATTGTATAAATTTAGTTAAGCACCTAAGAGTGTTTAATTTACTTTCCACTCGTTCTTTCGTTACCTATCTTTCTCAATTTGGGTAGTAAATTCGGAGTTGTCGATTCGAACCATATTATCTACGAGGTCTTCTTAATCATATTCGCCCGGCACAATCAGATTCAGGATCAATAGCCGCATCGCGTACCTTCAATTACACAATTGCATGTACATGTTTGCGACATTTTATTTTTGGATTGCATCAAGATCGAACGCTCGCGACAGATAACGAGTCACAGTCCCCTTTTATCGCCGCCTGTATATTTTGCTAGGTTTCTTTTCGGTGGCGACTGTGATCTTTGCACTTTCCTTGATCTCGAGGTGAAGTTTCGATTCGGTCGAATCGAATAAAATCGAAGGAAATCCTGTTGTTATTTTGCTAAATATAATATCGTAATTCACGTGTGATGTAGAACTAACTTTTTTGTTTTTTTCTAGTAGAAGCATCTATTAGATCGTTTCCTCGGTGTATTTTCGATAGCGAATAAAAAAAGAGATACACGAGACACGTGATAAACATTATGTCGGCCTAAGACGCTCTCCGTTACGTCATTCGAATGAAAAAAGAAACTAGAGCAGAATGTTCCTTGTTGGAGCGATTTCATTACATTCCTATCCCTCGGCGAGTAAAAATAGAAACGAGCTGAAAACAGCTTTATCACTGGCATTCCCACGTCTGCTGCTCGGGGACCTGTCAAACGTCTACTCACGCTCGCCGCGTGAGAATTCGATCACGAATCTGCTCGATCCTTCGCTTTAAACCCTTCACGAAGTATCGCACAAGGTTCCTCTTCTTCGTGAAATTTTCGATAAACAAGTTTCTCGTGGAATGTACGCTACCGTGTTCACGAATATTAGGACACTTGTTGAACGTAAACCAAACTTAAACGGTGATAAGGGAATTATTGGAAAAGATTCTAAACAATTTTTTGATAATTTTAAAAAGAATTATTCAATCTGGAATCTCGTAGTGTAACGAGTATTTACTTTTAGCGATATATCATACTAAGGAAGAAATGTCATTTAAATTATGTTATACTCCCTGTTTCCCTAATTATTCAACGAATAAACTGTAGGTACTTGTTAGATTTTTTTCACTACCGAGTTTGTGTAATTGTTCAGTTTTCGACTGTTTTGAAAAGATCGATGCAGCTTGAAAGAAATGGTAATTTCAATTTTTTTAGATTTTTGTCTCACACCACTTTCATAATCATCTGCACATATTTACGAATCTTAAGTATCTCAGAAACTCCCATTACTCCTCCCTAAATTAACCACCAACTCAAAATATCAAGAAATCCCATTCAAAAAAAATTCTATTTTCTAATATTTCTTTCACACCACTTTCATAATCACACACACACACATATTGACAAATCTTAAGTACACCCCATTACTCCACCCTCAAGCAAATGAACAATAAAAAAGAAGAATCCCTCAATTATAAATTTCAAGGAAGACGCAGAGTAATCCTTAGCGATCCCACGAAAATTACTGTCCCACGATCGTTGGTTGTTCCACGTGAGTTATCCGAAGATCTTTTTCAAAGTTGACCCCAGAGATTGGCCGGTTCGCGTTTCACGTTTCCATGCTCGATACTCACCCAAGAGGCGGCACTGATTGCAACGTGTTATCCAGATCCTGGGCAGGGCTAGTGGTGTAACGTTGTCCCGTGCTCGACACACCTGAGGGAACGATCAGCAGCAGCCAAGCGGTGGCGAGGAGTAACAGCCCGTTTGGCATTTTCGCGGTCACCATCATCTTGATTCGAACGACAGAACTGTTCACGGTCCGTGTGTTATTCGTATGGTTGTTGTCTCATGATCAATCCCACGATCACACGAACTCGCTCTTTCTTTATACCGAAGGCTTGGAACGATTTCAACGCCGACTCGCGATCAACACCACGATCGGTTCCACGATCATGGTTCCCGATCGACTGGACGCTGGGTAATACGACGCGCGAGGATCTCTGTAATAGACGCGTCTCTGTTCCAGCGGGAGATTTTCTGATTTCCTGGTTTTTATTTATTTGGTTATTACGATGGAGATAAAAGATCGGAAATTTGTAGAAAATTCAGCTGATTAAAAGGATCGCCGAATGGTGGTCGAAAGAATGGATGGAAAATGAAAATGTGTGCTATAAAGAAAATTTTTAGAATAAACTTCGACTGATAATTTTTGTATTGTACATAGGTGGAATTTTTGGAGAAAAATTATGGAGAATTGTGGAATGTTTAGAAATTCGAAAGAATGTGTGAGTATACGTGAAATTTTTTCAAATTTATCGAGAATTGTGGAATGTTTCAAAGTTGGACTAGTCTTTTGTTTGTCAAATTAGGCTATCTGTGTAAAATGAATCATCGATGATTGTACTTGTTTGAATTTTGAGGAGCAAGGCAATTATTGTTGGAAGTTCCTTTCTTTTTCTTTCTCACGTTGATACTTAACAATAGATACACTAAGAATTTTGGAAATAGCTTCTTCGGAAATAATGTTTCCTCTCGAGTCGTCCGTTTCGCGAGAACAGCGAAAATCTCGCCACGTAAACCGAGCGAAGAGACAACGGGCGATAATTGTCGCGATTCCGCGCTGACTATGACGCCTTTCCGGAAGCACCAAATTAGTACGATGAGATAGATGCAACTATCTTCTGATATAAATATTCACAATAGCTGTGCCTTCGTCAAAACGGACATCAGTCTGGAACTACGAAATTTATTTTCAAGCTATTCGGTATTTTCTAAAGCAACTTAATTCTAAAATATTAAACTCTACCAAGTACTCTTCTCTACCAGAATAATTTTCACCGAATTTCTTTACCAGCGCCGAATTCTTTCAACTGAAATATTCGTTTAATTTCTAATTCGCACGATACCACGGAAAAATTGCACTTTTATAGAATTTGTCACCTGAGAGAGGGCTACAGAGAGTTTCTAATCGAAACGACGAATTTCTACAATTTCTATCGTGAGATCGAAGACCTCGTTTCGACCTCGAGAGGGTGTTTCCCAGTGGACAAAGGGAAACTAGAATTTATCAGCTGAAAGAAGGCTAGAGTGTCTCTAATCGAAACGGCGAGTTTCTGTAATTTCTATCGTTAGAGCGGAGATCTCGTTTGAAACTCGAAAGGACCCCTTTTTCCCGGTGGAAAAAGGAAAAGAGGCGAGCCAAATCGACGCCACGTTCCTCGGAAATTCGCCGCGTAGAGATACACACTCCCGCTTTCACTCGTTATCATAACGTAAAAGCGAACCGAGCAGAGGCTATCATTAAAGTTCCATAAAGGCTGGTATGCTCGTGCAAAACTCGTGCAAAAAGTGATCTCAGTCTGGTTCGCACGTTCTATTACGACGAGAGTGTAGCAGCGGCTTGATAAACGCGCGACTCCAAAGCGTTAACTATTAATCGTTTATTTGTACCAGAGAAAATGTAGGATAATAAATCAGCATTTGACCCTCTATGCAACGAATTTCCCTCCCGATTAATTGCAATATTTACGTTGAACCGAGTGAAATTTCAATCGACACGATTTTTTCTTTCCCAGCGGAAAAATTCTTGGAAAGTTTCCAAGTGAAATTCCCACTTGTCGAAACATTCCTGCAACCCTTTCACGATGAAATTAACACCACGTAGAGGTTCCGAGTCTCGAGCAACATCAAAAGCAGCTCCAATCACGCTCCTCTTTAGCTTTCAGCGTTAAGATAACGATAGAGGGCCGAATCGCGTACGAAACGTACACTGCCACGAAACACTACCACCGAACAAATAAGAAACCTCCAACAATATCGCGCCGTACCATCCACACCTCTATCCGCTATCGGCCCTTTAATTAATCTCTGCTCGTCGTCATACCTGTCAACGAAACCATCAACATTACACCACCAAAATTCACTCTGATCCTTCGGTCGCGATTTCATCCATCTGTCTCTCAGAATCCTCCCAAAAATCACCGGTCTCCAAGTTACACCTGGAATATTCGGGAAGAAAAATCAGTCTAACCTCCCCCCGGGAAAATAATTCACCCTGGTCGAAATGAATCCTCGAGAAGAGCGACTCTCGGGTCGGTCTTTTCTTCTTTAGACAGAAACAAAGGGGAGTTTCGCGAATTTAGAGAGAGAAAAAGAAGAAATGTTCGATTGCACTTCACGTTGATGTTGCACGCCGTTTCCGCGGAAAAGAAGGGAGGCCGGAGGAGCCCCGAAAAGATGCGGCGACGGGACTCGACGCGCGACTGGAGCAGCAGATTGTGGACGAGCCGCTCCGAGAGAGGGCTCATCTGGAGAGAAGAGGCCCTCTTCCCTCGTCTTCTCGTCTCTCGTTCCCTCCACTCGTCCTTTCCCTCCTCCACGGCCTGTTTTCTCGCGGCCGAGTCCAGCTGACGGTTCTGAGGAGAGAACACCAAGAGGAGAGAAACACCGATGGTCCCACCCCGTCTTTTTCTTCGTCGCTGTCAACACGATGAGAGTGTGTATGTGGGACGCGTGTACGGGCACGCGTGAACGCGCGACGAGAACACCACGAGACGATATTCGGGATGTGTGTGTATGTGGAACGATCGGGGGAGAAGGGATCCTGGGGGAATAGAGAGGATTTTCATTTTCGGAGAAGGAAGTTGAATGGGTTTCGTGGGGTGAATAGGAATTTAACCCTTTAACGCGCAGACCCTTGTGGATGAGCCACTTGGAAGACACAATGGTTAACTTCAATTCTTGATATTCGTCCAATTTTAGTGTCAAAGCACATGTCTGGTGCTTAATTTTCCACGAATAAAATTAATTTAATCGATTTTATTTGATGGACTTTGCCAGTTCTCTTAGATGAAAGGGCGGGGACATAATGATAGCACACTCGAACTGTATCTACATTTTCTTCAATCTTTTTTGAATTTGGAGAAATTAGCGTGTAAAACTGTTTCATTGCATAAATTCCTGTAATGGGCCGTGGTAAAATGTTGTGTAAAAGTGAAATTGATGCAGTTCTTGTAATGAAAACGCAGAACTTTACTGTTACAGAAATTTCCTGACATTATGTCAATCTAAGTCATGTTTACACATTTGTACAAGGTAGACTTTACGTACAATTTTCAACCATTAATTATGAATAATAACGTGAAAAATTAAAGATAGCACGCGTGGCTAGAAATTAGGAATATGGATTTTTCTCTTGCAAATTGTTGCATATTTTTGGACTTCTTTGTTTCAGGAGTGGTTTTGTTTACTTTAGTAGGGAAATTGCAATGCCTCGTGCAACGAAAGTTTTTATACGTGGAAAAGGAGTAAGAACGGTGTTCGTTTGTTTTTATCGTGATTTCCTAAAAGTTAACATTTTCAAAATTTATGTCTTTTTCCCGAGAACTGTAAGAGATAGTAAAAACAAACGTTCCTTGTAAGCAGATAAAAAAATGGATATGCAGGCTTTGCTGTATCTTGTTTCGTTCGTTACTAGCACTTATTTATTCAACAATTAAAAAAGAAAAATTAGTATTCTTCGAAAAATTATATTTTTGCTTTCAGGCGATATTTTTAAATTCTAACATAAATATACTTAAAGAGTACCAAAAGATAAAAAGGAGAAAAAATTTTTAGGAAGTATCGACAATGGTTCCTGTGAAAAAGGTACATAAAGTTGGCAAATTTAACATCTTCCCTTAAATAAAATGAAAGGAGGGAAAGTTTTGGGATGAAGTGAGGTTTAGAGGTGTTAATTCAGATGTTTTCATCTTTTTAACATTTTCTTGAGAAACTAACGTGTGAGAAAAGTCTCGAAATTGAATTTCTAATGTCAGCGAGGAAGAAAAAATTAAGGAAGAATTTTAGAAACAGAGAATTTAGACGTTTTCTTGTTTATCAAGTATTTCAAAATGATATTTTACATGAGCAAGTGTTTCAAAATTTGATTTTTTACTAAAATTATGGAAAGAAATGAAATGGGGAAAAAAGCAAAATTCAACTATTGTCCCTTTTTTGAAAAACTTATGAATGGGAAATTCGACGATCTATTACATACAAGAGAATTCTGAAGAATAATTAGTGATACGGATAAGATCTCATGCGTCTCGACGTCCATTATAAACATCAAAAGGAGCATTCTAATTAAGGAAACTTTCGCAATGAAGTATAGACAAGCGTTATCAAACGAGGCTGAAGATTCGATTGAGAAACAGAAACGACATTGGCCTCTGCGTTCTGGACCAATAACCGTGTTAAGAAGCCATCACTTCCGGCCGCTTCGATTAAAAACATCCATTGTCAGCTGGATGACTCGTTTGCAATATCGTTGTCGTGGCGCATTTTCTACAAGGAGAAAAAAAAAAAAAGAAAAAGAAGAAAAGTAGAACGAAGCACTTCGATTACGTATCTATTTATTGCATGTTATATATTAACAAACGGTGGCCATAAATTATGCAACGTGTAACGAAGACATTAATTTGCATACTTAATCAGTTCTGACAACGATCAAAGTACTCTTTCGTTTAAAAATCATCCTGCATCGAATAGGATACACTCTGTCGAGGCGTATAACTTCGTTGTTCGTTTTATTATCGTTACGTAATCCCATCTGAAGTCGCATATGCGGGTGGCGACAACAACAATGAGATGCAGAGAGGCGCCCGAGTCTCTCCTTGATGCAAATGTTAAAAGTTAACTGTAAGATGAAGCATAACTTCCTTATTTTCCTCGTTGCAACATTGTTTCCTTTTTAAACTCGCGAGTGAAGCTGCTCCTGACGTCACAGATTATCATTTACAAAACTGTCGAAAAATTTTCATACGTCAATTTAAATTTAACTCTGCTAAAGTACAATCTAGAAAATATAGAAATAATAACGTAACATGGAAACTTAAAAAGTGAATTCGACAAATTTAAGAGAGACGCACACATACGACTTGGATCATTTTTACGAATCCAAAAACGTACTTAATTCAGGTACTTTAAAGCTCATACTAGAAAGCTCAAGATGTTGGAAGCTTTAATTTCACTTCTACATCTTTTACTTACAATCATTATGGTCTACCCAAATTATTCTGTGAAAAAACTGAAATTTTAAATTTTGTGGGCACTTTTTTACCCACCCTTGGGTTTCTTAGTATTAATTTTCCATCGCATGAAAGTCCACGCTGGAAGTGTGTAAATGTCTGTGTTAAGATAATTGTTGAATTTTCCATTTTTCACTGGCGAGTGGAAGGTTTAATGCGGTGCGAGCGTCGCGAGGGAAAGAACAGGCGAAGGTGACACGGTGACCTATATAACGGGGACGCATAAATCGCGGCGCGGCCCTTTGCGGCTTCCACCGGCGAGAAACGACGTTTATCGGCTCGTAAAGAGCGATTTTCCGATCCGCGACCACGATTTTGAGCGACGACGATGAAAATTGTCGACCGTTCCTAATACAAGTTTGTGACTCTCAGCCTCGAGATCGACGATGATTAACGACGACCACGTTCCTTCTTTTCCCCCCTCATTTTTTTTTTTTTTACTCTCCAGCCGTCCGTTTAGCGGCAGTAAAACGAGAAACGAGCGATCGAGAACGAGCTCGTAGAAGCTTTGCTGATTGTAAGGTTGCTTCATTACCGTGGAAGCGTTAAACTAACGTTCTGTTAAGTTTCTTGCCGTGTTTTATAGTTGGAAACATTCTCTTCTTGCGCGGAGTAAAAAATTCAAATCTGGTTCACTGATAAAGAGAACATTTGAAAAATCGTTCTATACAGGGTGTTGCGAAACGTTTTGACGAAATTTTAGGAGCACGTAGTACTCGTCAAAAGAAAGCAAAAAGTCTGAGTAAACATGGGTCGAAAAGTTAATATTTTCGAAGTTACGAACAATTTTCCATGTCGGCGAAAACGCGTGGCTTCAGGAGCTACTATTCTGCCTAAAAACATTGGATTAGGCAGTTACGTAGAGCTAGAATAAAGTTTTGAATATATCTTCGAAAGTATTCATTTTTCGACCCATGTTTATTAGAACTTTTTTGTTTCTTTTGACGAGCACTACATGCTCCTAAAATTTGGCCACAATTTGGGAAAGATTGGGAAACCATGTCCCGGAGAAATCTGGAAGTTCAGATTTTGCCTGATGGCAAACGAGGCGCGCGAAACAAAGGCGGACTGTGTAGTTTCGAGTTAGAGTCATGTGCAGAAATATTCTCCAGTATGGAGAAGGAAACTCGTGGAAGCTTCGACGATGACTTCGAATGACAAGAAGCGGAAGGTTCTAAACTAAAAGTCACCGTGATGTGGAATAATCCACGAACAAACTCAACCTTCGCTTCGTGTCTTCCCTTTCGAATGTATACACTAGCGACCAAAAGTTTGGAACCGTCATCTGTGTGTTACTAATTTTTCACGGATTGACAATTAATTATACAGCGATCGATAACAATTTGCATCCATAGAAAATTCGTTAAACATTTCTTAAATTTCTAATTTTCTTCTGGAAATGTTTGCATTGCACAGTAGCCTCAGACTTTCATCCTACAGTGTATACAGATAACATTCATATCTCCAAAAATGTCTAAATAAAAGAACTCCCGTTTGCGAAAGTTACGCACTCTTAAACATACTTCAACTTTAATCTGAAACAATGTCTCCGCAAAGTTCGTCAAAAATCCACGAAATTTCGTGTCACACCATGTACAGATCATCTTCTGAATTCTTTAAAATAACCTCTCGAAGAAGTCTCCAATTTCTCCGTTCGCTTCATTCATCAATACTCCAATTAATCCAATTTATACCGAGACAGACATCATCGAGCTACCGTTGATAAATCTTAATCTTATCCAGCGCTTGTCCGAGTCGCAGACTGGTACACAGGTGTATTATACACGTAGATAAGAGCAGGTGAATCGGTAGCTCATAAAGGCCGCTGCGCCACCCCGATCGTAATTCGTTCGGCGACACGCGAGATCGTCCAACAAACACGATCGACACTGATTACAGGATTGCCGACCAGGCGACGCGTTTCTGCACGGTAGTGGTTGAATAGCCTGCGATGTGGATGCACCTGCAATCAACGCGAGCTCTGCAACGTTGTACAGCGTGTTTTGTAAACGTTTCAACGAGATTTCGTTCCTTGGAAATTCTGCTTTCTCAATGGATCGAGGTAAATCTGTCATTAGATGCTTGAACGTTACGTTGCGGTGTTGTAATGGAGTTTAAATGGGACTTTGTACGTGATATTTCGAGCGTTTGAAAAAAAATTCGTAATGAAATCTATTGACACACACGTGTTCTACAAATGTTCGAATAACGTTTCGCAGCTTGGAGAGTGTACACTCTGAATGGGTTGGGTTAAATGAATCATTATGTGTCCAGATGTAATGTGTGGTAATATCGCGATGGAATTTAAATAGAACTCTGTGGATGATGTGTACTTCTTGAGCACTTTCAGAGGTATTATGTCATTGGTTAAATAATGAGACATTGTTGGTGTTTGTAAAAGTTTCAAATTGATCGTGTCGTTTGAAACGTTTGACATATTTTAAAGAAACACAGTTGAGTCGGTATATCTGAGAAAGGCTACAATTCAGATATTAAATTATTAAACTTTTGTTGCACACTGTACATTTCACAAGGTAATACAATTCTCACGGTATTCCATTAAAATCGTATTCAGAATCAGGGGAAAACTAACAGTATAAACGTAATCTTCGACACGTTTCTCACATAGACCAACCAGACCAACAAACCACATGAAACACCAAAAATAAACTACACGCAGATTCATCATCTACCACCTTACTCCTCATCCTCGCTAAAAACCTGCTCCACATAGAAGCGACAAGCAAAACAGCTCGAGCTCATCTCTTCATTATTCCTCCTTTCAATCAAACCTGAAACTCCAACTAGAAAGAAAGGGGGAAAAAAAATAGAAGAACCACTTGCACATTAACTGACTACGAGGGAGAAAAAAAGTGTGCGCATTAACCAGGCTAGCAACATAAAACCAACGAGCCACGTACGTCGTCCGCTCGCGCTGTACCTGTTCCTGCGCTTAACCTAGACCTCTTCCCCGCGCAGTTTTGTAATAATCTTGCTAGACGACGAGGACTGGTCCCGGATGAAAAATGAACGGAACGGATCGTACCGCGTGCTTTTCTTTTCCGTGGCGAACGCGTCATTAAAAGGTTCCCCGTCGACGGTCCTCTGTGCACCGCAGGCTACGCACAAGTCGTCCCCCTCTAGTATGCAAACACCCGGCTTCTGTTCGTCCCGAGTTCAGATCGAAACGTGTCCCTGACCGACGACCACCGATCTAGATAGCCGCCGGATGAAAAATCACGTCCGCTTTTAAGAGCGCCCCGCTGAATCATCGATCGCTATCGTTTAATACGCCGATACGCCGTTCGTTTCGTCTCGAGGTGGACTCGAGCGGAATCCGCGCGAGGAATGTCGCCGCACCGGAATATACATGACGCTGTTGGTTCGAGCGATTAGTAAGGACAGGGTTCAAGCGGTAATTAGAGATGGTTCGTTTCTTTTTTCTTCATTTTGCTAGCTAGACTTGTGAATATGTAAATGGTAATGTATGCAGGCGTTGGGTGATATTTCAGTGGATTTTTAAGGGACAGAGATACGGCGAGATTGAGGTTATGCATGAGGTCGGAAAGGAGGTTGCGAGGATTACAGATTTTATTGGAGAATTGCTTGGGAGCAGTGGCGTCACTAGGGTTGGTGTCACCCAGTGTGCTAGCTCGTGGTGTCACCTCCCTTGTGGACCTCGAAATGTAAGGAATAAGAAGTGAATTAGCGAAGAGTCTTTGGCTGTTAACGTTGTTGATGTATTGATACATATAGAGTGAGTTGTAAACTCCAGGGACATTTTTGGAAAAAATAACGAATTCTATGTTCTACTCTAACTCTAACTTAACGATACCCTAAGAGTTCTTTGATTTCTTGCTCTTCTTGGCAGTAGACTTGGCACTGGAAGCAGCGGTAGGTTTCATGCTGCAGATATAATCCCTAAAATTTTCGTATATCTCTTCCAACGTGAGTCTTCTGTCCCAAAAATCGTTTCTATATTTCTCGTACATCGTGTCATGGTGTTCCTTCTGCTTTTGCATCAGAGCCTCCAAGTCTTCGAGGAAATGCTTATAGTCCTGTTCTGCGTAAATGATATTCATCATACGACTGTTCCTCAGCATTTCTTCGTCCAACTCCGTCTTCACCCACGGTTTGTCTTCCTCGTCCTCTTTGATCTCGTAGACGGACAGGTCCAAGGGTGGAAGTCTTCGAAGTGAAGCTGGAGGCTTCAAGGTCCTCTCCTCCAAACGAACCATTGATGTCACCGAGGCGTTGGCGATCGTCGATCCCCCACTCTCGCCTCTCGAGAATCCCTCGGAGTGACTCGAGAGTTTCCTTACGAACGAGCTTGTCGAAGATTCGGGCTTCACCTCGTGTTTCTTTATGAAAGCTTCCCGGAGATCTCTGCCTTGTTCCAGGCTGTCAGGGTTTTCTTCGGCCCAGGCTTCCTTCATCTGTGCTATCTCTTTCTCCTTTGTCCTATCTTGAGTTATCTGTTAACAAACAAAACATGAATTATCACGTCGTTGATAGTTTACACTTCAACTGTTTTACTGGTCGATTAGAACGATCGGCACACCTCTAATTCGCTCTCAGCATCGGTGACCACTTGCAGGACCCAATAAGGTGACTCCAAAGTCTGACCGCTGTCGACAGACTGTTTCGAGCTTTTCCTCGACCTCAACGACTCGGACTTGGACAACCTTCCAGTATTGGAAAACGACAGTCTCGTTTTAACCAGAGAACCCGTTGGCTTTATTCGAAATTCTGACACAAGGCTCCACTCTGACTTCGTCAGTGGCCAACTATCGTCGAGAACAATAGCTTCCACGTAGTAATTCTTATCACGTACCATTTCATCCTTACTTACATCTCCACGTACATCGATAATACCTCTCTGAGCATATTTAATAGAGGATTTAGTAGATCTTGCGATACTAGAAGATTTAACCGAGGATTTAATAGAAGGTCTCTCGATCAAATTCTTGTCAACGTTATCCCCGTTACCATAGCTATTCTTCGGTTTGTACATAGGTTCTCTTTGTTTCATTCGAAGTCCTATGTACACCATTGGCAAAATAACCACCGAAATCCCCTTCACTTCAGCTAAAACATTCTCTTCTTCGTCGATTACCCTAAACACCATTCTCACGTGCTCGTAAGATGTTCGAAGTCTGAACGATACCACACTAGGCCTCGTCACTCGAACGATCCCTTTGTACACGTAATTGCTCGCGTTAGGAATATAATTATTGGATAATTCGTGTACGAGCAAGTCAGGAGGCGCGGTAATCGTCGGAAGCAACGCCTCGTTGTCCAGAAACTGAAACACCGGCTGTCCTTTCATGGTAACAACGTTCAACGACCAGGCTAACTCGTTCAGCTGCTGATCCTCGCTCCAGCCGTAGCAGAAAATCGTGTAGCCTAATTTCGTATACGGATAGTAAGTGGAAACAACGTTGTTCGCTACTCGCAGCATCTCTCGACCTGTCTGATTGTTGAAAACTCGCACGCAGTATCTAGGAAGGCTGACAAACAGATCTACCTTAGCGAGAACTGTTTCTGTCACTTTAGGATTCGCTATGAGCCTCGTGATAGGCAACCATTCGTTCGGTTTGACGTTCATCAACGTCCCTTTCAATTCCTGCATCTGCAGCGTGTACTCGAAGTCACTGGAGCAACGATACAAGTCGTACAGCTTGTCATGGTGTTTCAAGATGTTCCTCAGCAATTGATTAGCTATGGATTCTCGTCTGTTGTAGTTGAACAACTCCGCAATCTTCGATAAACTTTCAGAAACTTGTCGATGCTCCTCGTGATTAGGATCGTGAATCTTTCTATATTTTCTGACAACGAAAGCTTTCACATACGACTGAATAACAGTTGCAGCTCGATATTGGACGAGCAGTTGTGAAATGGTGTCGCACGTTTCAGGATTGCGTCTAGAACTCTCTGTTACGTTTCTCGATGCACTAAGCGCTCGTAGAGTGTTCAATCGTCTCGTGACCGCGCTGAAACATTCCATGCCAATGGTAGGCTTCAGGAAGAATATCCTCAAAGACCTTAATACAACTGGGACCTCGTTTTCAGGAATGAACTTTCTCACAAGCTTCACTTTCTCAGAGACGAAATAATCGTGTATCTTATCCTTGAATATTTTGCTGCTTTTCTCAGAATTGTTATCAGACGGCAAGTAGCTATTGTAGTAAGCCTTCAAGGCTTCTGCGTATCTTTCAGTGCCGAAAGCTTGGAAAGCATTGCTTATAGCAACGCTGATGAATTTCGCCAATTGATCGACTGTCTCAGACTCTGTAGCCATCAGCTGGTACATTTTTCTCCTGTCTCCGACGTGGAAAATCGTGTCCGAAGAAATTGTCGCGAAACAACCGGACTCTGAGTGACAGTACATTCGCAAGAGGAATCTTCCACTGCTCAATTCCATCACGGTTGATTTTGTTCCAGCTGTTAGAATGGACGCTAAATAACTCGACTTTTTTGGTCTACGAAACAAATTATGCTTCTCTATGCTTAAGCAATTTTTATTGCCACTTAGTACGGTGATAGTGTTCGACGTTTGATTCTCAGTTTGTTCGATAGTGCGAACGGAAACTTGAAACGTGGAAAATTCGACGAGGAAGAATTTCTCTTCCGAGGAATCTGCGAAGATGTACAGAGGTTCGTTTCTAGTTTTCGACATTTCCCGAGGCCAACGGTGACTATCCACGAATTCTTGGTCCCTAAACATTGTTTTCGACGGAGAACTTTTTCTGCTACCCTTTTTGTCCGATTTCTGATCGCTCGATTGTTTCACCACGAAACGATCTGAAAATTTTGCGGTGTATTCGAAGTAATCTAATTTATAGAAGAAGTGAACGTCTTTAATGTGAGGCTCGATTTTATTGAAATCTGCCCAGAAACTGATATCTTCTAAGGGTTCTATCGGTGCTTGCTTCTGTCGTTCCTTTGATTTATCTCGAGATTTGCTCTTCTGATCTGTTTTACTTTCTTTATTGGTACTGTCATCTTGGACATTTTCTTCCACACTTTCGGTACTGAATTTATTAATTACACTTTCTTCACACTTTTTCAACGGGCTGACAATTTTCAGCGAACGAATAGGAACGAAGTATTCGACTGGATCGATTATACCCTCGCTGATTGCCCATTTTAACCAACGATAGAGCTTCCATCTCGCTAACGGAGGCTTCACCTACGATTCGTTGTAATATTTTTAACTTTTTATTCTTTATATTATACTTCAATCGTTCAACGTACATCTTTAGGATCCAAAGGAATGTCACGGGACTGAGTAACGTATACAAAATGGCTCAAGCAGGGAGCCAATTCAGGTACAATTTCCGAATAATCCTCTTCCTTCATGTCCTTCAAACCGAGGTACAGATTCACCGGTTGAGGTTTAATCAGTGCGTTCAGCCTTGAAGCTTCGTCTTTCGACTTTTTCGACCGACCAGTATCCTTGGTCACTTTTGAATCGTCGTCCTTAGATTTCTTCGATCGTCCAGTGTCTTTCGATTCCTTCGTTCGTACAGTGTCCTTCGCTTTCTTCTCTTCTTTGCTTTTCTTAGACTTCGAAGCTTCTGTTTTCGAAATTGTATAAAAAAGTCGTGAAAATGATAAATATTGGAGACACAGAACTAACCCTGACTCCCCAGGTCTGTGTCTTCAGCTTTCCATTCGAAGTGTTCCGCGTATTTCCTCAAGAAGTCCCATTTATCCTGCGGAGAGAGATATCCTATGTCTAACCTCAAACAAACCCATCCTACATTGAATAAAAAATGAGAAATAATATTGCATAATGGGATAAAAGTAGTGTTGAATTTTTGTATTTCGTTTAGTACACTTCAGTGTTATTTTACCGGTTAAACAAGTGACAGGATGGAAATCTACGATTTCGTGATGGCCAGACCACGTTAGAGAGCACAGTTTTAATACAGCTTTCGAGAGAATCATAGGCCACAATTCGAAATTATTCCCAGTTCGTGGTAAAAGTGGCAACTTCTCTGTATTCACTGGTATCATGTCGTCCACCATAATTCGACGCCAAGCTCCCATGAAATACAGTCTCACGATATATTTACCTTGGATGTAACGATTAAAACTACACCTATTATTGCTAATTTCATATTTTTAATACTACAGTATATTCTCCACAAGTGTCAGACCTCAAGGAATCTAAACCTGACACTCGTAGAGTCAGGGACTACGTTTTCGAGCCTCGCGCCCGCTTTTGTAGTTTGCCGAACGTAGACAAGGACAGCGAATAAAAGATAAGCATGAAACGTGAGTCGAGGCAACCTAGCGATTTAAATATCAACTTTTTTAATTTTACGTTTTTTTATCCCGAAATTTTTCTTAACATATTGATGAGATTTTTCTGATGAAAGTGACATAAAACACGACATAATTTGAACAACATTTACTTATTAACACGTTCACTGTCGCGCCAGATTTACAGGTTGCTGTCAGGCGGTCACAAGAAAATACATTTTAAGCATAGGATTATAATATTATGTTTTATAATTTTTTTTTCCATTGAAAATAATGTCTAGCTAGCTATGACGTTCAAAATATTTAGTTGACAACATTTATTTTATTTTAATTATTCTAAACATTCGAGGCTCTTCAGTCACTGATGACCACCATGGCCATATCGAGGAAACAATCTAATGTTAATACTTATTGAGTGATTAATTTAATTTCATAATATATCGCTTTAGCGAGCCACCGTTTGGTTGCCAACTGTTTATCATATAGAGTCAGCCTACCTCCACGTAAAAAAAAAAAAAACAAAAATGTAGGGTCGATTCCACAAGTGTCAGTAAAATGTAGGGTCGATAGCAGCAGAAAAGCTGCTAAACAATTAGAATTAAATGTAACGATACAAATTATTGCAATAATGCGTAATGCAATTGAAAAATCGCAGAAAAGTCTGATACAAATGTTTGAAAAGTAAAATATATAAGATGAGATACGGTAAAATGTTACTGACACCGTTAAAATGTAGGGTCGGCCTACATCCACGTAAAAAAAAAAAAAA